GAGAGAGAGAGAGAGAGAGAGAGAGAGAGAGAGAGAGAGAGAGAGAAAGAGAGAGAGAGAGAGAAAGAGAGAGAGAGAGAGAGAGAGAGAGAGAGGGTCGAAAGGGTTTACACACACACACACACACACACACACACACACACGTCATCATGACGCAATGAAATCATTTATCTTTTAATCACAAATAAACACAATCGAACATTGTTCGTATGCAATAAGCAAATGACATGCAGCGACATCACTTGGGCTCACACCAGTATAAGCAAAGGACACACTGTCGTCAAAAAAGGGAAAAGCCTTCGAAGGCAATCACATTTTCAAGTTCCCACAAAAAGTCATGTTGTACATAGATGCCAACCCGGCGCCCAGACACGTAACTCGCCCCCCCCCCCCTCTTCGTCGTGCACCATCTTCACAACTACAAAACGCGACTGCGACATGCAACCACGTCACGTCGCCTCCGCCGCCGCCGACATACACTAGCAGTCGAACAAACCAGCGCCGCCGGCATTGTGTGTGTACCCCCGCAGTCAAAAAATACACAAGGAAAAAAAAAACAGAAACAAAATTTACAACTTCTACCACCACAAATGAAGACACCTACGCACACTGGCTGCGGGAGACGCGTCGTGCACGCTCACCCACAATGATGCTACCACGCCTTTAGTATACTGCCAAAAAACAGAAGACGGCAGCAGGAATGACGACAACGTAGATGACGCTCGGATGATGAACACGGCGCCTGGCGATAATAGAAAAGCACATCCCAACGGCGGTAGACTGGAGGGCAACATTCTCGTGATGATATGGCACCGACAGTGGATGGGGGAAGCAGACCTCCCCTTCTTTCTCCTCGTAGAAGCTCTTCAGTGCCTCCCTGCTTCGGTCTGCTCCGTTCTTCCGCCGCATGTGGGTGATCAAGCGGTCTCGACATGCACGGCCGGCCATCCTCACTGCGCACTCATTGGCTCTGCCAGCCTGTCCCTCATGACTCCATGCACACCGGCCTCAATGGCTCATGTATCCCAATATCAACTCTACGACGCACGGTGTCCGGACCCACCTCCCACAGCAGATTGTTGTCAAACGGGATGCCTGCGTCGATCAATATGTTGTGCAGGATGCAGACGATGACAAATTGTTGCCCCAAGGTGTCCATGTTGCACTTGTGGGTGCAGAGGAACAACCTCCACATCCCCTTCTGTCTGCCAAACGCCCTCTCTACTGCTCGCCTCATCGTCCTTTGTTTGTTGTCGAAGGGTGCCTCATACGGTGCTGCGTGAGACCGCCGTACGAGACTACTATCCACTCGGAGGGGGGATAACCATTGTCACCCAGCAAGTACCCGTTCGTCCGCACACCGAAAGGCAGCATGACAGGTGGCCCAGTGAAAATATCCCCTGCCTCCGCGCTCGCCCATAAACTCGATAGGTGGACGATCCTCACGTTGTGGCAACTTCCCGGATAACCGACGAACACATCCAGCACGCGCAAGTTCATATCGACGACCACCTGCGCCTGGACGGAGAATCGACGTGTCCTGTCATAGTAGTCCTCGTCGTTGGCGTTGGCGGGCTTCTCGATGTAGATGTGGGTGCAGTTGATGCACCCATGGCAGTTCGGAAAACCCTTGTCGGCGAACGCGTGCAAGAAGACAGCCTTTATCTTGTTGGGGTACACGCTCAGTAACAGAGCAGTCACGTCCCGCACTGTCGTCAAGCCGGAAGACCTGCCAATGCCGAAGTTGCGCGTCCTGTTGTCGTGTGTCATCCCTGACGCCCACCTATACAGAGTGTACGCGACGATTTGGTCTGGCTGCAACGACACCCTGTAGAACATCACACTGCAGGTATGGAGAAAGAGTTTTCACGATCTCGCGGAAAACACGTCGCGACATTCGCAGCTTCTCCTTGAAGTAATCTATTGTGGCGTCATCACATTGCCACAAATCCCGCCACGTACCCCCTGTCCGTTGTTTCATCCACCACCTTGGAGTCACCCGTAAAAATGCGCCGCACCCCATCACGTAGCACACCTGCAGGATGGCGTCCGAAATGGCACCAATGTCGAAGTCGTCGCCAGTCGTCGGCAGCGCCGTCAGCTTGCGGTGTGCACGAACAACCGCTTTCAACTTCCCCTCACTGCTCTCCATTTGGCAACGGAAGAGGACGACATTGACGGCCGCAGCGACGGTCGTCCTCTCCGTCGTCGTCAACACGTCACGGTCGTCATCGCCGTCGATATCCATCCCCGACGCCACTTCAGTAGATATGGACGTCAATATCAAAACAACACTCCACGAACACCGCCATGCGGAATTAGACAGCGCCGCCTCGCCAGACAACATTGAACGCCACGCGACGACAGCAGACGTCAGCCTGTGACGATGGCGACAAGTCGATGGCGTCTTTGCTTCTTCGAAGGCGCACAGGTGCGTACCCCGTCGACACTGAAACCGCCGACCAGCGTCGTCACTTAAGCAAACGCCCCCGCATGCTGGACGCTACTGCCGTCAAATTCAAAAAATGACGTCCTGTACGCGCCGCGCACTCACATTGCGAAAATTCAAATTTCAAATTCCGAACGGAGGGGCTGCACGCCTTTTCCAATGGCCCCTTCATTTTTGAAAGCCGCCGTCTTTCGAAATCGCGATGCCCAAGGAAGGTGGACCAATGCCGTCCGCACGGACACATCTCCATGGACCACCGTCGGCCCCACCCCCACGTCCGATTGTACACATAAATCTGGCCGCGGGAGCCCGGAGGAATCGTCCTCGGGGGACGTCTCCAAAGATGAGTGGAACGAAGGCGGGAATTTCCTCGGGCGACTCCAAGGAATCGTCCTCGGGGCCCCAGGACACCCCGAGGAGTGTCGACGAGCCCCTTGGTCACCAATTCTAAGTACTGTTCTCTACCCCTTTATCCATCGAACTGTCTTTTGTTGTTGCATTTGTTTGTTTAAAAAAAGATGTACTTGTGATGATACTATGTTGCAGGGACCTCCTACTAAGGCCAGAATTTAGCCCAAAGAAGTAGCCAGCGGCCTGATTTGCTTGCCTACTGGCGGTCTAAAGTAGGTGATAGCATGGTCAGATCCTATGGCTGCTACTAAATGGAAATGAAGGCACTTTGACTATTCTGCTTCACTCCCTTCGGCCATCTAACAATCCCTTATTGTCTCAGTCTCGGGACCCAGTGCTATCAACCTTGCTTAACTTCCAGTTCCAGTAGGCATGCCTGCCTGCCTCCCATTCCCCTACCCCCACCCTTTTGTGTTGTTGTTGCAGTAACTTGTTTAATCAAAGT